GGCAGGTTATCCCCACGGGCAGAAACCTGCTGCTCCATCCCTCGGCAGCCACATGCGCAGCAGCCACCACCTCGAAACATGAGGTCTGAGCCCAGAAGAGGAGGAGCGTGGCCCCTCTTCCCCCCTTTCAGGCTGGGAAGAGCTCACAGTGTCACCTGCCAAGGGAAAAAATACCTCCTCTCCCCACTTCCTCTGACTCATGGTCCTCCTGAGAACCTGGACCTCTTCACCACACGTTGGCCGCTCTGCGTGGACCCGGTTCAGGGCTGGAAGAAAAGCACAGCCAGCTCTCGCAGCCCTTGATGAGGAGGCCAGAGCCTTCCCCCATCGCTGGCCGCATCCCTGCGGTGGGAGAGGGGCTTTGCCAAGCTGCCTTCTGCTCGCCTTGGGCTATGAGGGGTGGTCGCTGCGCTGGGGTGAGCTCTCCATCCTCCCGTCCCGATAAAGTGGGTGACAAGCGGTGACCCCGCCCTGCAAATGCTCCTCCTCTTCCCTGCTGTCCCATCTCAGCGTGGGCATCGGCGCGGCATCTGGCTGGGGTGCTACAGCCTGCACCCCCAAATTGCAAATGGGAGGGGAGGAAGGACCAGCCCAGCTTGGAGGGGACTGCCACCTTCCACCGACTCGTGTGTCCTCCTTCCCTCATCCCAGAGGTCTTTGGATGAGGGATGGGTGGGGAACTCCCCTCGACAGCAGGGAGACCATTCCCAAAACGTCTTTCCAGGTCAAGCACTCTTGGGTGGGAAGGCTACAGCATCCAGCTCGGTTCCGCTGCCCCTAGCCTGGGGTCAGAGACGGCTGGTGATGGCCTGGAGCAGAAATGATGCTGTGCGGGACGTGTGAGACCTCATCCCACCCGTCCTCCTTTCCACCAGCTCCGTCTCTGGTGGAAACCCGGTGAGGTCACCGAGACGCATGTGGGACTGAGTCGATCCCAGAGAAAAGCCGTGGAATCAAGCCCGGGCTGCGTTTTTTTACACGTTGCTAAACCATCCATTCCTGAAATCCCAAGGCAAGCTCGGTGCAGAGGCACACGGTTGAGGAGACATCTGCCTTCCTTAAGTGCATCCATCTGTGGTCCCCTGACACCCTGGAGCTCATCTCCTTGCCAAAAAGGCTGTTACATAAGCCCCCGACTTAAATTTCATCCCAAGCCCGGTTGGTGGGCAGTTTCCAGTTGTGTCAATGAGCTGCTGATCAACGGGGCTGTCCTCTCCTTCCCAACGTCGGTCGTGCTGGATTTGCCTTTGGGGAGCGACCACAGCCGTGTGACCTTCACCTTCCTACCCGAGCTGGTGCTTTCTGGAGGGTCCTGCAGAGCATCCACCCTTCAGCCACACTCCTGCCTCTTGGGAATAGCATAACACGCCACGGTGAAGGGCTTGGCCGTGCTTCCCACGCGTCCCAAGCCTTGACATCCCACCAGCAAGGGTTTGCTGAACATTTCTGGCCTGCTGCGAAGCCAAAGCAACATTGCACTGAGGAAGGACTGGCCGTGCAGCAGATGCTGCTGGGGGAATTGGAAATCCACGCTCTGCAGCTCAAATTTTTTTGGGTTGCCCTGGACACAGGTGGGAAGCCTCCATGGTAGGGAGAGTGCTTACGACCTGGCCTCTGAGTAGGCGAATTAATGCACCGGCCACAAGGATCCCACCCAACTGACCTGCGGAACATCTCGAGAAGTTCGCGAGGGGATGAAGGAAAGCCCTGAAAGTGCCCACAGGTGAAGGTCAGGCTGGCAGGAGAACCATGATGGTGCATCAGGCAGGTCGCTCGCAGCTCCTCGGCGTGGTGCGGGGGGCACGGGGCGTCCTCCCCACCTTTGGGCTGGCAGTGGGGGGTGGGGGTGATGGTGAGCACGCCGGGCAGAGGCAGAGCTGGCCCTTTGCATGCCGCTGTCCCACCTTGAACCACTTGCGTTTCTCTCTCCTCCCTTCCACACCTCCATCCTTGTGTTTCCTTGCTGGACCCCCCCAGCAAGGCTGAGGGAGGCATTCGAAGGGGGGTCAGAACCCCTTGTTAGGGCTCAGAGGTGCTACCCAGCCTTACAAAGCTGGGGGGGGGTGGGAGGTGTTGGGGAACACCCCGTTAAGAGCCACCCATTGGCGTATCCCC